CTCTGAGCCAGGGCATCCAAGTTTGCATCCTGGCTCTCCTACGTATCAGCACAGGTTTGGACAGGCCCCCTATTCTTACTGTGCTTCCATCCCTGCCTCTGTAAAACAGGGATAATGAAAAGACCTACCTCTTAGCCTTGTTGCAAGGAATTCATTCATAGTTTCTGACATCTAGGAAGTACTCAAACCTTGCCTACTATTATAGCCACACATGAAATGAAATATCCTGTAGCTGTTAAAAAGGAAGAAGTAGATCTATGCCCACTGATTTGAACAGATATTGAAGGTATATATTTTAGATAAAAGAAAACATATTCAAAATAATGTCTGATAGAACACCAATTATGTAAAAAGCTTTTGAAAAGAATCTACATGCGTATATGCATAGAAAGAAACCCTGCAAGGATACACAAAACCCGTTCAGCAATATTATTTCTAGAGGGTTGCATTGAGGGGGATTCTCCCTTTGATTTATACACTTGGTGTATGTATATATGTACACATACATATACACATATACACACACGTTTGTATGTAGGTATCTTATAACAAGCATTTACTATTCTTGGGAAAAAAATAGATAAATAGGAAAGACTTTTAAATCATGAGAGGCAAAAAAAAAAAATAAAAATAAATAAAAAAAATTAAAAAAATCATGAGAGGCTTAGAAAAGAACAAGGCAGTGGGAAGAAGACCCCCCCCCTCATGGGCTATAGATTCCTCCCTCCAATCAAACGTAACACTGAATGATAGCCCCCTCTCTCACAGCGCTGCCTTTCTACCTGACAGCATGGCACAAAGAGACAAGACACACATTTCATTGGTACCTAATCTTGTTGTGTGGTCCTAAAATAATTCTTGCAATGTAGCCAAAAACTGAGGTTCTGCTTCAGATGCTCTCACTTAATGAATAAATCATGGAGACTCGGGTTGTCAAACTGAGAGGGACCTTAGAGATTATCTAGACCAATCCCTCATTTACAAACAGAAACAATGAAATATGTTCCTGAGAAGTTAGCTGTTATCAAGCAATTTTGAGAAAGGAAGTTTATTTTCCAGTGAAAAGAATCAGAGATGCATCCCCATGGGAAGTATTTTGTTCTAAGACCAATTAATACAATATATCTGAAATGATTATACATCACTGGTGGGCGTATAAGTTAGTAAACCATTTTGGAGAGCAATTTGACAATATCTCCCAAAAGTGAAGATTTTCCTACCCTGTGATACGATTGACTCCTTTCTAGATATATACCCAATAGCAACAGTCACATAAGAATATCTACAAAAGAATGATCCTAATAGTCCTGTGAGCCAAAAACTGGAAACAACCAAATGTCCATAAATAGTAGAATGAATAAATAATTCATGGCATATTCATTAAATGGAAAGCTATACAATAGTGAAAAAATAAGTGACCTAGAGGCACATGTCACAATATGGGTGATTCACAAATATAACACTAAATTTTAAAAAATTGGACAAGAAAGGACGCCTGGGTGGCTCAGCGGTTAAGCGTCTGCTTTCGGCTCAGGGCATGATCCTGGAGTCCCGGGATGGAGTCCCACATCGGGCTCCTTGCATGGAGCCTGCTTCTCTCTCTGCCTGTGTCTCTGCCTCTCTCTCTCTTTCTGTGTCTTTCATGAGTAAATAAAATAAAATTTTAAAAGTCTTAAAAAATAAAATTAAAAATTGGACAAAAATACATCCCATTGATATACATTTTTAAAACATGCAAAGTGGTATATGCTGTTTAAAGACATATACGTAAAAAAATAAAGACACATACATATGCAGTGAAAGTATAAATAAACGCATGAGAATCATAAACACCAAATCCAGGAGAGTGGTTACTTTGGAGGGACGTGGTGAGGTGAGGAGAAAGCTTTAATCATAGAAGGATAGATAGAGGGTTTCAATTCTATCGGTGATTTTTTATCTTAAGCTGAGTGGTAGGTATTCTGATTCTTATTATATTATTCTTTATTATCTTTTTGAACATATAAAATTTTTCACAGAGCATCAGTTGAAAGAATGCAACAAATCTCAGGCTGAAAAGAATCCACACTTTTCCAGATGTAACAAAATACTAAAAGAAATGTATAAGATGCAAATACTGCACTCCAAATGACAGGATTATTCCTTAAACCTGTTTCATTTTCCTAGGACTAGTTTCACAGAAGAAAACCTGCTAGAGAAGCAGCAGTGGACTGTTAATCAGGAGATGAGGGTTCCACTCTCTCAGATATTCATCAGCTTTGAATAGGAGAACAATCTGACTAATCTCTTTTCACATTTAAAAATGTAATGTTGGACTAGATTATCTTACAAACTTTTCTATATGATAATTCGTTCCAGCTTTTTTTTTTAAGCAGCAATTCTCAAAACCGTGTTTGCAAGATACTAAAGTGTTTTTCATGTAGGGGCACCTGGGTGGCTCAGTCATTTAAGTGTCTGCCTTCGGCTCAGGTCGTGATCCCAGGGTCCTGGGATTGAGCCCTGCTATGGGCTCCCTGCTCATCAGGGAGTCTGCTTCTCTCTCTCCCTTTGCCTCTGTGTGCTCACTGCTCTCTCTCTCTCAAAAAAAAAAATACATAAATAAATCTTTAAAAAAAATAAAGTGTTTCCATGTAGGAAAGTGTTCCCTGGTCAAATCAGTTTGGGAAATACTGGGTTAAACGAAACTAAACAGATTTATTTATGGCAGTATGTCTCAGAGCCTTTAACATGCTTAAATACATTGTGACTCTCTAAGAGGAGAATTCAGTTTTGAAGCATTTTCAAAGTTATTGGCCCACAGAATGCACCCCCACACTGCCACCACCATCACTCCTTATTTTAAAACAGAATCTATTAACATTCTCTCAGATCAGTGTTCTGTGAGACGTCAGTTTGGTAAATGCCGTCCTGGAAGGATTTGTCTCACTTGCTATTTCAGTTTCAGATGTGTGATTAGAATCCCTTATAAGGGAGGAATGTAGTTTCATGGTATAGCTTCCATAGAGTGGGTTTCCTTTGAGTGAGTGTTGCTGGCAAGTTTAGAAGGATATCTTCTTGGGCTTCCTTGGTGAGAGCCCATCCTATCTGGCACTGTGGCAGATTTAACATCAGAAACTTCTGGGTGTCTGTACTTAGAAGTGCTACATCTCAGATACAGTCTCTAATTCTGGCTCTTGGGCCTTTGATAAGTTTACTGCTTCGAGCCATATTTCCTCCTTTGGGTGATTTTGGAACTGAAGGGTGGGTGCCCTGGCCCAGAGCTCAGAGATACTTAGCAAGAGCAGAATGCCTGGGGCCGGGGGCGGGGTGGGGGTGGGAGGGCTCAAATCTCATAGGAAGAAGAACCCTCTCCATGTGTCTTCTTCCCCCAATAGTTTGCAGGAAGTAGGACTGCAGGGAAGAGTCCGACTTGCCCAAGAAAAGAGGGGCTCAGTCTTTTTTCAGGGACAGGACACTTATCACTTCCACTGGCAGCACTGCCTTTTCAGGGAGGGTTTCCCTAAGCCGACTCCACAAAATTCTCTGTGACCCTCTCCCCACCCAAATCCCAGAGAGGAAAATCTCCCGAGATTTTGTGGTTCCCACAGGGCCTTTTAAAAGGTGATTTACCTGAGGGTCTTTAATCTGGAAACAAGGATTTCTTTAGAAAAGTCAGGAGCGGGATCCCTGGGTGGCGCAGCGGTTTGGCGCCTGCCTTTGGCCCAGGGCGCGATCCTGGAGACCCAGGATCGAATCCCATATCGGGCTCCCGGTGCATGGAGCCTGCTTCTCCCTCTGCCTATGTCTCTGCGCCTCTCTCTCTCTCTCTCTCTCTCTCTCTCTCTCTCTCTCTGTGACTATCATAAATGAATAAAAATTAAAAAAAAAACTTTAAAATAAAAAAAAAAAGAAAAGTCAGGAGCTGAGATGAACCCAACACAGAGCTTTCTAAAGGCTGACACAGAGCTTTCTAAAGGCTTTCGTTCTTTTGAATGATCAAAAAGAAAAGGTGAGAGAAAAGTATGCTCTCTTACATTCAGCATGCTGCTACTGCTGTTGTCCCTCCTTGTCTATTCCACTTCACCCCAGCCCAGCCCAGCCACCTGCTTGAACCCCACACTCACGAGGCCTAGCCCTGCCTGCCTGCCTGCCTGCCTGCCAGCCAAAGGCAGGAGAAACCTTAACTACTTTGCAGTCTCAAGCCCACTTACCAGGCTTGGGGCCCTGGGCCCGGAGCCAGGAAAGATAAGGAGACTGGAAGGAACAGGGTGTTTGACTCCAGGAGAGGTCAGCCCCATTGCAAAGCACGCCCAAGCGAATGCTTTTGAGTAGTGAAGAAGTATCTCCTGATGACAAGGGGGTTGAGAAGAAACCAAAAGGAAGGTAAATGGAGCCAGGAAGTGAGGGCGGAGAGAAGGATGTGCCTCCAGCACCAGGCTCCTAAAGCAGAGCCCATAAAGGAAGCACTCCTGTGTCCTGTTTGCTGACTAGACAGTCATTTGCTCTGGGGGGTAAACCTGCTCTGGGGTCCCACGTTTCCTCTCTCCTCCCTTTGCAGCCAATGCTTTCCACACCCCTCCCTTTTCCTTCCCGCCAGGAAATCCACCCTTGGACAAGAAAGGTATGTCATTGAGAACAAACACAAATGAACACACAAACACACACACAAACAAATACATAAATAAATAATACCCCTCTCCTCCCTGAGAAGCAAACTGTGTACCTTCCTCTTAGTCATTAGTTGCTCAAATTTGGCTTGACTTTGCATTTCAGGGCACCTTTCTTCTCCCCACTCCGAATCCGAGCAGCAGCTACTTCATCGTGGGCATTTTTTAAATGCAAGTTTTCCCCCAAAGGCACACGCAGGCAGCAGGCAGGGACACACACACACACACACACACACACACACACACACACACACAGTACCTCTGGAGCTTCCCTTCCCTCAGTCATTTCCCCTCAGCCGGCTGAGAAAGGGCTGAGAAAGGGCGAGGCTGGGGAATCCTTTCTCTGTGGCCTACCTTCTGATTTCCGTCAGGTCTGAGGAGCAGGCTGCAATGGGGCGCCGGCTGCCTCTGTGAATCAGCAAAGAAGTCCCTGAGACAGGGCTGCCGACAGCCGCCGTGTGCACACTCTCCCTCTGTCTCTCCCACCTTCCTGCCCTCTTCTCTCTCCTCCTCCTCCTCCCCTCTCAGAGCCGCTCTGTGTTGCTATGCAATCGCATCGGGACTTTCGGCGGGGCCAAGATACCCTTGGCTGGGCAAATGCAGGAAGGGCAAGGACAGTTTTTGTAAAAACCACCGGAGCCTTAGCGGCTGTCTCTCGGAGATCTCAATTCATTAGGAGCAGAGGAGGAAAGCGGAAGAGGCTGAGAGGCAGAAGGGGAGAGGGGGAGAGGGGGAGAGGCTTCCACTGGGGAGGAGGAGGAGACAAAAGAGGCCCGGGGATCAATACGGGAGCTGCTGAGCGAGGAGCCTGGGCCCCAACTTCTACGGATCTTGCCCAGAGCCCAAGCCAACTTCAGAGCCAGCAGCTGGCAGTGTCCCTCGGTCAGCCAGTCCAGGATTCAGCTTCCGTGTTGGAGACTGAAACACTCTGCTCTAGAACTGTCATTGGTACTCAAGGTGCAGTCGTGGGCCAGGGCTGACTTCCTGTTACCCCAAAGTTCTCTGCTCACCTCTGTTAGCTGTACATGTCGAAAGAGCCTCCACGATGAGAGAAACAAAACGGACCTTGAATGATCTGAGAAAATAGATCTCCTCCATGCCTCTCCTCAGCAACTACCCCAGTCACCCTCCCTCCTGCTGTCCCTACCGCTTACTCCTTTACCACCCCTGTTGAAGAGAAGAGGGTAAAGCTCCAAACACCCTGGAGAGACCTTGGAAAATCCACTAAGGGGACAGAGGGGATTATAGGCCTTTACAGAGTGCCCAGCACACAGTTGGTTATTTAATATTTGTTAAATGAGTAAATTGGATGGATAGATAGATGGACAGAAAGATGGATGGAATAACAGAAACTCACCATCACCATCCTCCTACACAAACATACCCATACCTAAAGGTTTAGCAGCTGCACACCAGGGCAAAGGAAAAGAGAAACATTCTTTCATCTTTCCACTTCTGAGAACATGATGCATGACAGAAACAGATTGATTTTGGGGGCTTGGGGTGTTACTTAACTTCAATAATTTGCATCTACAAATTCTATAAGCTCTGATGGCACTGGAATTTAGAACAGAACATATTTCATGGCCCCAAGGACCTGGGTCTAGTGTTTACAAAGTGTTTACAGAGACTCAGAATAATAATAATAATAATAATAATAATAATAATAATAATAAATCCTCAGTTAGGAAATAATTAGTGTGTAAGTGTATGTGTGTGTTTTCTTTTGAGATGAAATTTTTAAAAACTTAAGCTTCTGGTTTCAGTAAAAGTTTAACGATAAGGCCTAATCTCTTTGAACCAAGCAAACAGGGTTGCCTCGGTAGTTCAGTGGCTGAATGTCTGCCTTTGGCTCAGGGCATTATCCCAGGGTCCTGGGATCAAGTCCCACATCGGGCTCCCCACAGGGAGTCTGCTTCTCCCTCTGCCTATGTTCTGCCTCTCTTTCTGTGTCTCTCATGAATAAATAAATAAATAAAGTCTTAAAAAAAGAAAAAGCAAACAGAATGGGAATAAAATACTCCCCCCCTTTCCAGATAGGCTTTCAAGAGCTGCATGAGTGGCTCCTCCTGCTTGGCCAAAGCAGCAGCAGCCAGGCCTCCATGCAGGTGCAGGTGCAGGTCTTTGATTCCCAAAAGACCTTTTGGAAGCACATACGGTCTTCTCAAACTACACACCCTCAGCAGAGCATTTCTTAGCTACTCAGCCTAGCCTAGTTCTGGCTCTGAGTCCCAGCCCCAATCTTAGCCCTGGCAGCTTTCAGGGTTTCTCAACACCATCCAAACATACGGTACCAGGAGTCCTTTAGAGCTAACTTGGAATGACCTGGAAGGGAGGGTTGGCTAGAAGAAACACCAGAGAGAACACTCTGAGAAATTATTTGGGCTAGTTACAGATGCAGAATGACTGCAACAGACATACACGAAACACATGGGAACCTGACTCACTACTCACCCTAGCACCAGCTCACCAGTAAGCCAAACAGAACCAGGGCCTAGGTCTAGAAAGAGGAAGGTGAACTGAAGGGTGTACTTGCTCTTACATTGACTGCACTTGGGCTTATCCAGATCATAAGGAGCACTTGGAATAATCCTTTTCTTTTTCTTCCTCAAGAGAAAGCATTTAGGCTGCAGATACAAATGTACAGTACTTGCCTCAATGGAAATAAACCCACAGAGTTTGTTTTGAGGGGTATAAGAAAAGACTTCCCGAAATCTCTTTCCCACTGACCCCATCATGATGGAAAGACCTCCCCTCCTTATTTCTCTGTTTAAGGCACCAACAGCTCCTGTGAAAATGGGAATACTACCTATGAGACAAAAAAACATTAGACTGTTATCAGCTAGTTATAGATCATGCTAATAATGATAATAATGGCTAACATTATTGAGCATATACTACAAGCTATCCTCACAACACACTTAAAATAGCTTCTCCTATTGCCTCCATTTTACAGATAAAGCACTGTAACATAGTGAGGTTAAATGACTTGTCCAAGGTCACACGGCTAATGTGTTATGGAGTAAGACTTATCCTAGATCTCTCTGGGCAAAGTCCACATGATGAAACACTGTTATACTGCTTTCCTTTATCTAGTAGTGGCCTGAACCGATGTCAGGCCTAGGTAGGTCACTGAGACAAATGTGACTAAGGCAGAAGAATTCCCAATGGTTTTTCCATCCTTTCTGCCTTTCTCAAGCTATTTTCTCTATGCACACTGCCTCCTTTCCTTTAGAGGTTAGAGACACAGGGACCTCAGAAGCCAGACTTCTCTCTCTCAAGTGTCTCAAGTGAGCAGACCCCAAAAAAGAAGTTGGTTCAGGGGCATCTGAGTGCTTCAGTCAGTTGAGCATCTGACTCTTGGTTTTTGGCTCAGGTCATGACTTCAGAGTCCTGGAATTGAGCCGCACATTGGGCTCCACGCTCAGCGTGGAGTCTGCTTGTCCTTCTCTTTCTCTGCTCTTTTCCCTACTCTCTCTCTCTCATAAATAAATAAAATTTAAAAGAAAGAAAGAAAGAAAGAAAGAAAGAAAGAAAGAAAGAAAAAGGAAAGAAGGAAGGAAGGAAGGAAGGAAGGAAGGAAGCAAGCAGTCCTGGTGGCCCAGCGGTTTAGCGCCACCTTCAGCCTGGGGTGTGAACCTGGACACCTGGGATCAAGTCCCATGTCGGGCTCCCTGTGTGGAGCCTGTTTCTCCCTCTCTCTCTCTCTCTTTCTCTCTCTCCCTCTGTCATGAATAAATAAATAAATAATTTTTTATAAAAAGAAGGAAGGAAGGAAGGAAAAGAAAGAAAGAGAAAGAGAAAGAGGAAAGAAAGAAAGAAAGAAAGAAAGAAAGAAAGAAAGAAAGAAGAAAGAAAGAAAGAAATTGGTTAAGGCCGTGCATGGAGTATGAAAAGGAAAAGATATCATTTGGGGAATATAAAAAATAGTGAAAGGGAATAAAGGGGAAAGGAGGGAAAATGAGTGGGAAATATCAGAAAGGGAGACAGAACATGAGAGACTCCTAACTCTGGGAAACGAACTAGGGGTGGTAGAAAGGGAGGTGGGTGAGGGGTGGGGGTGACTGGGTGATGGGCACTGAGGGGGGCACTTGATGGGATGAGCACTGGGTGTTATTCTATGTTGGCAAATTGAGCATCAATAAAAAATAAATTTAAAAAAAAGAAAAAAAATGAAAAGGAAAGACAAATGACCTTGAGATGAGGCAGAGTCCTCCAGTTTGCCATGGCTCCCACCTAGCCTACTATACGTCTCTCCTTTCCTGTATTTGGTCAACTGGCTTAGCCCCTGTGGGCTTTTCACTATGTGCCATCTCACAGGCCACTGGAGGTACATACTTGACCGTTGTTGGCCTTCTGAGGCATTCAGAGAAGAGTTATTTGTTTTTTCTCCTGGAGGGTATTGGGATAGACAGAGTTTCTAGTTGTGTTGCAGGAGAGGGAAGAGCTTGGGATGCCTGGGTAGCTCAAGAGTTGAGCATCTGCCTTTGACTCAGGTCATGATCCCAGGGTCCTGGGATCGAGTCCTGCAACAGGCTCCCCACAAGGAGCCTACTTCTCTCTCTGCTTATGTCTCTGCCTCCATCTCTGTGTATTCATGAATAAATAAATAAAATATTTAAAAAAATAAAAGGAGAGGGAAGAGCTTTCCTTACCAGCTAAATAGATAAGTTCACCCTGACATTTAAACCCCAAGGGAAAAAAAAAAAACAAGGAGACTCTCTCTCACCCAGGGGACATCTGGACAAATCAGAGCAAGCACGTAAGCTAGCTTTAACTATTTCTCAGAGGAGGGCAGAGAAAAATCAAAGTGGTTTGGGCCATAAGCTTTGACTGTGGCCCCACCCTGATAACCTGTAGAAGAATGCTTAACACCCACCATGGTGTCATTGAGCAGGACTCTGTGAGGTGGATAAGGATAGGTAGGACATTTCTCGGTAGGTAGAGAGAAAACATGTGCCAAGGCACAAAGCCCAGAGAACTCAGCTTGCTAAGGGACTGCAAGTACTAGTTAAGTATGGCTAAGTTAAGTTATGGATATGGGTAAGAAATGGGAGGTGGCAGGAGATGAAGCTATGGAAGCATACATGGAGGTGCTAGAATACCATGCTAAGGATCATTTAAGATAATTTTCAAAGACAAGCAGCATGATCAGATTTATGTTTTAGAAATATTATTCTAAAAAAAAGAAAACAAGGGGCACCTGGGTGGCTAGTGGTTGAGCGTCTGCCTTTGGCTCAAGTCGTAATCCCGGGGTCCCAGGATCGAGTCCCACATTGGGCTCCCTGCAGGGAGTCTACTTCTCCCTCTGCCTCTGTCTCTGCCTCTCTTTGTGTGTCGCCCATGAATAAATAAATAAAATCTTAATAAAAAAAGAAAAAACAAAACAAGACAAAAAAAGAAATATTCTAATGGCTTTCATGTAAAGAACAGTTATTGAGTTCCTACTACACACTAAGTCTGAGTGGACGCCAGAGGCACAGAAAAGATGCAGAAACTCTGAAACTGCCTTGGAGTTGCTCACAGCCTAATGGGTGAGACAATTAAACACGAATACAATAGAATGATAAGTGCAGTGAAGGATGAATTTGAGGTGAGAAAGGCCAGACACTTGAATGCCTGGTACGGGGCAGTTGCAGGTACTCATCTGCTGGGGGCCTAAAGCAGAGGATTTGGTAGTGAGGGTAAAACACTACCC